TAATTGTAGACTATAAGTGTATTTATATATAAAAAAAATTTATTAGAATAACTTTAATTCAAGTATTATAGAAGAAAATTAGGAGGACTCCATTTATGAAAGGACTTTAATGCGTATCAAAATTAGTTTTGATAAAATCTAATTCTTCAATCCAAAAATAGAATTTTATAGATTTTAAATTATAAAAAGGATAAAATTGGTTTAGTTTTAAATTCAAGTATTTATTTTAAATAAAAAATAGGAGAACTCCATTTATCAAAGGACTTTTACGTGTATTAGAAATATTACGTTTGGATAAAATCAAATTCAACAACAGAGTTTATCTTTAAATTTCAATTTTTAAATTTTTATTTTTCAGTTAAAGAATATCCATATTTCAATTCAAATATTTTGTTACATTAATGGTTAATAATTTTGTCCAAAAATTACCATGTGACTTTTTATTATAACTTGCAACTTAAATGTTTTTTTTACTTAATACTTATTATTACTTATTTTGAATTAAATTGATAACTTTTTTATTTTAGCTTTTCCTAATTTTCCTTGATATTGGATATTTTTTATTTGTTAATGTATAGTAAACGAATAAAATTATCTAATCTCGTTCTTCAAATAGAGTATATAAAGATTAGTGGGTAAATATTTATGTGTATCGAGTGTTCACATCAAATTATTGAATTCAACTTAATTTAGCAGTTAAAAACTAACGTGAAATATTAGTTTATCTTTAATTTAAATTTCAAAATATGTAATTCAACCCCATTTATTCATAATACTGAGTTGCATCAACTACTTTGGTTATTTTTACTATTTTTAATGTCAATATTTTTTTTCTTCAATATTTCCATCATAGCGTCTTACTCTTGCGTCTCTCTCAAGTTGTTCTAAAATGGTTTTTTCTTAAGTCGAGGTAGAAACAACCTCTATACTTTATGAAGATAAGGACAAGGTCAGTTTACGTACACCTCACTCCCCCTCTATAAAAGTTGCCTTCTCTTTTCACTTTAATTATTAGACTTCACATGTTTTCTATGAAGAATAAAGTTTGTCCATATATAACAAAAAGTTCCTTAAATTTTCTCTTTATTGTCATCAAATAAGTTTATATAAACTCAAGAATATAATAATGTTAACTTCAATTTCATGTTTTCAAACAATGGCCTGTCTTGCAAGAATTTCACAAATTCCATTTCTAGTTTTGTTCATGTTCCTTGTTGTATGCACCACCACAATCCATCATGTCCAAGGCCAATCAGCCATATGTGTCATCAATTGTGGCCAACAAGCAATCTCTTGTGTCATCCGTTGTGGCCCACCGCCTCCGCCAACCGGTTGTTATTCAGGTTGCGTGACTACTGGTATCGACTGTCTGACCTCCTGTCGTAGGCCACCAGCGCCACCAAGATCGCCACCGATGACCTCGGACACAGGCATAGATGTCATTTAGGGAGTGAATGAAGCTAGCTTCAGATTCTTAAACTTATTGTCCTTATTCGAAATAAATAAATAATGATGCATAGTAATATTTCGTATTATAATTTGATATTTTGGATGCGTCTCTTGTGAACAAACAAAGGTTAATATAGACATTTATGAGGTTTTACTTTATAGTAGTGTCTAGCTTGCTTGTTTGTATTCTTGCCTATAGCCAAACAAACAAATGATGATGATCTCGGACATGGACAGATAATATGAGTATATATCAGTCGAAGTTGAATAAATTGTGGTCACCGATTTCCCATATCACAAAATATTGAAACTGAACTTAGAAATACCTAATCATACCCAAATAATTTAATACGATAATGATATAATATTTTGAAAAAACAAATCACCGAACTGAAATTTCGATTACAGAACCATACCATGACCCCTACTTCTAATCACCATCATATAGTGTATAACTGGTGTATCTACATTGTATAATAATGCATAAAATGTTGTTATACCTCTATTATGCAGTATATATATACATGTTATACTTGTTTATACATTGTTGATACACTTAGGCAACCCTATTGTTTCTGCTACTTTGATTATCTTTTCTATTTTTACGGTCAATACTTTTCTTTCTTCAATACTTTCATCATCGTGTTTTACTCTTACATTTCTCTTAAACTGTTCTAAAAAACAATTTTTTTTTAACTGAGGATCTCTATCATATGTAATTAAGGTTTGCTTACGTAGATCTTACCTTCCCCATAGTACTCCACTTATCGGACTATATGACTAGGTATATTATCATTATTGTTAATGAATTGCCCTCACGAATTAAATTTGCCTTCTCTTTTCATTTTATTGATTAGATTTCACATGTTTTCTATGAATAAAGTTGGTCCATAACAGAAAACCCCAAAAGTTCCTTCCATTTTCTCTCTGTCATCAAACATAGTTTATATAAACTCAAGAGCAAGGGCGGACCCACGTGGGTTCTAGAGGTTTCACCTGAACCCTCTTGGCAAAAAATTATACGGTATATATAAGATAAATTTTATGTATTTATGTAGATATATTAATTTTGAACCCCCTCATGGACAAGAAGAAAGTTATAGTGTAGTGGCATGTCACCTTTAAGTTAACTTTCGCGCCTAGAGTTCATATTCCGGTGTGGGCGTTTCATTTTTTTGGCTTTCTCTTCATTTAGTTTCAGTTCCTAACTTTCACGTTTTTTATTATTATTTTTTTTTTTAATTGTGCTACTAGTTTCTTGAAATTTTGTTTTGTTAGCTTATTTACACGTTTATATTTTTATTTTTCGAACCCCATAAATGAAAATACTGAATCCGCCACTGCTCAAGAATAATTAATTATACTAACTTCAAGTTAATTATTCTTGAGTTAGTATTAATTAATCTTAAGTTTATATGCACCACCCCCAAGTCACTATGCTCAAGCCCAACCAGGGCAATGTGTCATCAACTGTGGCCCAACACACAATCTCTTGTGCTATCAACATCAAGTATGGCCCACCGCTCCGCCGATTACTTACCATCCAGGTTGCGCGATTAGTGGTATCGACTGTTTGACCTCCTGGCCACCAACTTCGCCACCGCCCACCGAGGTCCTCAAACATGGGCATAGATGTTATTTAGGGAGTAAATGATGTGAGCTTCAGAAACTGAATCAAAATGTTCTTATTCAAAATAAATAATAAATGATGCAATAAAATTTCGTAGTATAACTTTTCTGAATGATTCCTCTAGTTTTCTAAATAAATAACTCTTGATATAGATATTTATGAGATTTCCAATATTTCTTTAAATATAAGTGTGGATAAACAGGCAGCTGATGGTCAAACATGTTTGTTTGTGTTGTTTGCTTGTTCCCACTTATATATTAGCTAGCTTGTTCCCATTTATATATTAATAAATAGATAGTTTTTTTAATAAATTCAAATGAAATTTTCATTATATTTTCATGAAATTAACGTTATATTTTCATGATAATTTTTTAATGAAATTAAAGTTATATTTTCTTCCACTATCTATATTTACTCATTTTTATTGGTTCACTTCCACTAACGTTATATTCATGTTTGAAAAATTGCCTACTAAAATTATTTTTTCGTTAAGATTATAAATTTTACTATTTTTCACAAAATATATACTTACACAATAAAAATATTTTTCTCTCCTAATTGGCATGTCATGTCGCACTAAACTCTTTTTTTTCTATAATACATTTCTCAAACTTTCCTACACTACTCTAGGGTTGTGAGGATTGAAGCATCCAAATACTTTATAGCGAAAAACATTACGTAGCTCAATATACAATATTATACATATATATCTGTAGAGAACATATATATAATGTGTCAATTTTGTATAAAAATGTATAATAATACTATATAAAAGATATTTATATACAAATATGGGTTAAACCGGGGATAATATTTTATATTGAGCTACATATCGTAAATATTTTTTTTATAATATTTTATGTTGAGCTACGAGATCGAAACTTCACCCACAAAAAGGAAAAACATTTTTACCCACAAAAAAAAACAGAAAAGATTGAAATGGAAATGCATTAAATATTTGGGGGGAAAAAAGTATGTAGATCAATTTTAAGTATGGAATAACTTTTTAAACCAAAATATAAACTCATGGTGTCAAAAGACGTTTTTTCTACTCTAACATTACACCACAAACCCAGTATATTCCCACAACAAGAGTCTAGGGAAGGTGGGGTATATCGTGTACGTAAACCTTACCCCTATCTTAGGTAGAGAGATTATTCCAACCAATAGACCCACGGCTCAAGAAAATCGGTTTTACCCCTTTTTCACACCATTTTCTACATAGGACTTTTTATCCGTGGTGTTCGGCCATCTTATGCACACTTCGACAATTACCAGATAACTCTATTCACCAAAGCTTTTACAAGGAAGAAGGTGGTGTAGGCCGGGTGTACTCCACTTGCTAGTGGTATCACCAAGTGTTACTTGCTCTAAAAACATTTTTTCCTAACCAATAAATTCTTCTGGAACAAACTTTAGGTTCAAACATAGCCTTCGAAACTCGGGGATGATGTACCAAAGCTTAGACAAATGGAAAGAAACCCTTTGTCATTGGAACAAATCAAACAGGGGACTTGAAAAAACAACATCAAAATCACTTGGTTCATAAACCAACTTGTATATATGGAGAAACTCCATATATACCTAATGTTCAACCTTGCAAATGCACCAAATATCTTCTCCAATCATTCACATAACTGCAGTTGCAACACTTAAACTGTGGTCCAGGTAAAACCAAAAACAAAAAAGCTAAGAAAACTCCTGCTAAGGATGTTGAAAGTATCATCTTACAAGTTATGCAATGTCCTACACCTTCAAAATCTTAGATGAGCCTGAGATACGGAAGCGCTTGAAGTCAAGTGTGTCAATGTAAAACAGAAACCAAGCTGTACAGCGGATAGACGGCCCATGTGCTCAAGAGTTGAGGATCAAGTTAACGCGAAAATCAAACACACAGAAGCATAGGCAAGAATGTGGAATATCGACGAAATTAGTCACATAGAATACAAAACAAAAAAGTTTGACACGTCATAGTTTCACAATACCGAATTCAGGAGAAATTACTAGAAGTTGCTAACAACCCAAACTACTAAGACAAGGAACAGGGCAAACAGGATATACTGGAGAACAGAACTACATAACCATGTGAATTGGAAAGTAGGCAAGCACCGAGACAAAGGTAATAACACAAAGAACACGTCCTAATTTGGAATAGAAATCTCACAAACTTATCTGCTCCGTTTCCTTCTCTTTTGTATTTTTACTTCTAAAGAGTATGTTGGATTGATCAGTTCTCACTTGGCCATCATAACCTTGACGAACTCGTCGTAGTTGATCTGCCCATCGCCATCCACATCAGCTTCACGAATCATCTCATCAACCTCTTCATCAGTAAGCTTTTCGCCTAGGTTTGTCATGACATGACGAAGCTCAGCTGCGGAGATGAATCCATTCTGATCCTTGTCAAACACTCTGAAAGCTTCCTTGAGCTCCTCCTCAGAATCAGTGTCCTTCATCTTGCGAGCCATCAGGTTAAGGAACTCTGGAAAATCAATGGTCCCATTTCCATCAGCATCAACTTCATTGATCATGTCTTGAAGCTCAGCCTCAGTTGGGTTCTGCCCCAATGACCGCATTACAGTTCCAAGTTCCTTAGTTGTGATACAACCTGCAGCATATATGGAGATAATTATTGAACATTTATAGCCATCATGGCTACCTGCTTTTAGAACTTACTCTTTTCCCCATATTTCTCTATTCTGGAGAAACAAGTTAAACATGAAACTTGAACTGTTTGTTCTCACATGACAAGTATTAATCAACAGAATTCGACAGAACCACAGGCTTCCATCAGAAAGACTGAAATCAATGAATGATGTTCAAAAGGAAGCATGTGAACGCATAACTACGTGCACTAATCACCACAATCAGTCTACATAGGAAAAACACAACTATACTTTCTAAAAAGAATACAAACACCAAGATTCATTTGGTTGGCAGATTATCTTCAGATGCAAATCACAGTAGAAAGCATCTTTCCTTCATCTTCCTTTCCTGATTTACTCAACTTGCCAAAAAAATTACAAAAGAAAATTTTGTTCTGTTGAAATAGCAGCACAGTCAACTTAATCGGAGGAGCAGGCCAGCTCATCCTCAGAATCCGAAAAGAAAACGAAAATAGAACAGAATGGCTTTGTTTAAATAATATACCTAGACTAAAAAGGTTTAGGTGATGTCACGGTAAACAAAAATATATGTACCCGAGGGAGTGGGTTAGTGGTTAATGAGGTGACTTAAGAGCCATGAGATCTCCTATTCAAATCCCAACAGAGCAAAAACAGCAGGTGTTTCTTTCCATATGTCCAAGCCAGTGACAGAGTTACTCAGTGTATGTGTTGGTGTGACGTAAAAGGTACCCCGTGGAATTAGTCAAGACGCATGTGGGACCCAGATACCACGTGTTATCACATAAAAAACAAGCATATATGTCAGTGTACACACTCACACACATACACAGTAAACAGGAAAGGGTATTTTAAAGTAACTATACACCGTCAAGCTTCTATATGCACCAGAAAATTAACTAATTGCTCCATACTTCAAATATAGAAAAAAGAACAATCAATTTTGATCAACCTTAGAAAAAGTGACTTGTGCGATTGTGCCATATGTTGAAGAGAATAAGCAAAAGATTTTGCATAAAACCAAATACAAGGAAATTTTGTATCCTGTTCCCTAAACGATTTCCATAGACTTCTGCGTGTTATAGCAATGTATGGTAAGTTATGCAATCTACAAGTTAAAGCAAATTATGCTATAAGAAAAACAGATTAACAATTTATCAAGAATCAAAACCAAGTAAAACACATATCAATAGGAAAATCAACAAAATATGGTAAGCACCTAAAAAGGACAACCTTTTCAAGACTTGTCACCTGATTTCATTCAAAAACAATTTCAACCAGCTCCAAATGTGATTGAAACCCAAACTAAGAATTCAATTCATCAACACTAAACACTCCTCGGATCCCATCAAAACCAACCAAACACCCAACATATCGACGAGCATTTATGTTATGATCCTGTTGGCGGCTGTTGCAAGGTATGGGACTTGAGTCCCGCATCGGTTAATGGAGAACTGATGTGGAGCTTATATAGCTAGATTTTGGGTGTGGTTCTCGTTGTATCAATGGTATCAGACCAACCATCCTTGCTCTATGGGTATTCATAAATGCCATTCCAAAATCCTCTTTATGTTTCTAATTTCACTTCCAACCTACCTCAATCATCTAGGTATGGTGGCCCTCCAAGTTCTAATGCTTTGCCTTTTTGTGGTTATGTAGGAGATCCTTATGGATATACCAATACGGGATATAGGGGTTATTATAGTGGGTATCAACAGCCCTTCAATCACCATACACAGGAATCTGTACAAGCAATTCTCTTTAGCCTAGCTTAGTTCTTAGTTAGAATTTCTTCCCTAATTCTCACATTACATCAATGATATCAGAGCCATCCCATCCCTCTTCATGTCCTGGATGATGACGCATGGTCCGGGGCTAGAAATGGTCATGCACAGCGCGGTGGTTTGTTATGATCCTATTGCAACGGATGGGACTTGTGTGGTTAAATAGGGAGATGATGCTGGGCTTATATAGCTTGTACTCTCCCACCTCAATCGCTAGCTTTTCGGGTGTGGTTCTCCTTAATTTGTATCAATTTATGCTATTAAACACCATCAAAATCCACCAACTTCACATAAATAGATCATTATATCCATTTCAATCAAGAAAAGAATCAAAACCCATGTTCAAACTCAACGAAATCTCAAATAAACACATAAACATGCAAAATACAAAGAACCAAGCATCGGATCTAAGAAAAAAAAATTGCTATGAAATGAAAATTGATTTCAAAATATGTATGGTATAAGGATGAGCTAACCATCTCCGTCCTTGTCAAAAAGACTGAAGGCTTCCTTGAACTCAGAGATCTGATCTTCGGTGAGCTGATCCGCCATTTCTCTTTGACTTTTCTTTGAGAGATATTTTGAAAGGGAAAGAGAAGTTGCAGATTGGGAAACAAAGAAGAAGGAGAAAAAATGGAGTTTTTGTTTGAGTAAAAGAAGAAAAAAATGAAAGGTTGAAAATGGTTAATTTTAATGGCTGTAAATGGTGCCAATAGTTTGGGGTGAAAAATATTTGAGAAAAAAAAATTAAAATTATCAAAGTATTATTTTAAATAAAATAATTAATTCTACATAATACTTTATGTTAGTATATATCACAATAATATTTTTAGTTAAATGATGATATCACAATAATGGTGTATCGAGAACATAAGATGTGTGATTAGCGTAATAAGACAGAAAACGTAAGATATGTAGTTAATGTAATGAAACAAGGTATTGAGATATGACAAGTGTGGATAACTTCTGCAGTACCAGACAAAGAGAGTGAGGTATGTGATTGACGTAGCAAATGTAAAACATGTGATCAGCGCATCAAGATAAGATATGTGGAACAATCGACTGTCATGAATGGTGTTACATATGTGAATCATGTCATGCATTCATTATATGTACGATATATTTTATATATGTTTATTTATATCTTAATTATGGACATAACATAAATAACGTTTGGATTGTGCTTTTAAATATTTGTTCTTGTGTGATAATTAAGAGCAACTAGAGGATTTTGTTTGATCTTTGTGACTCCACCCAGAGGCGTATTCAGGAGGGGGTCACCGGGTTCACGTGAACCCATGCTCCCCTCCAGAAATCATATATAATAGTGTTATATTTTTAAAAAATTATTTAAATATAGATGTGTGAACCCACACTTGAAGTATCATATAATGTCGTGCGATGATGATGAGGTGCACCTTTCTAACTGAGTTTAGAAATTTGAACCTTTTAATTATCTTGTTTTATTTTTCTTTCTAAAATTGAGTAACATCTCTGATCTAAGTGGGTTGGATAGATAAAAAATAATTGTGTACCTATAATTTTAAAATTTCAATAGTATTTAGTGATAAGAACATAAATGTTAAACCAAACAAATTTATATCTTAGATCCACCTTTTCGTAATAGTGCACCCATGATCTCAAAATCCTGGATACGCCTCTGACTCCACCTTATTGTTATTTTTAGGTGTTGCATGTGTTATAGTTAACATTGTTATAACAATTTGAGGTTCTTATTGTAATTTTTTTTCTACGAAAAATGAGTTATCTTCTCTATTCACATAGGTTGGTCGTAACAATCTAACATCATCTTATATTTAAAACTTTACATTGAGACTTAGTATCAGTATTATATTTTAAGACATTTTAGTACGACTCGAGTTGAGACCTAAGGGGCTTGAGGTAGTTGACAATTGTAACTTAATACAATTGTTAACTTTGGTTTTGATTTCGATACGTAACAATCACGAACCAGAAGACTAATTTAGAATGATTTCTAAAAGAGTAATATGTCATATAGAAATTATTTTCCGCAATTGTGGCACTCATTCTGCACACATAAAAGTCAAGAAATTGACTTTGCACGATTTCGATACATGCATCGCAATTGCATACATGTCTGGCTTGGGAATATATGACCATGTACAAAAATTTGAAGAAAAAAATAATAATTTGCACCTTTAACTTTTCGTATATGTTATAGTTAACATTGTTAGAGTAGAGATTTGAAATTCATAATGTGGTTTAGTTGCTTATTGTATTCATATAGGTCGATTCTAACCATTTGACCCTTTGTTTGAGTGTGTGTGATCCACAATATGTTTTGAGACTATCCTTCAGATGGAAAAGGTACTGATCTCCTACGTTGTGGTTTGTAATCACATGGTCTAATCCTCCGAGAGCAGCTAGAAAGAGATTTGTTATTCATAAATAATATGATTTTGATATAAAATGCCTATTCAAAAGCTTTCCCAACTCAATCATATATTCCAATAAAGTGAAGAACCTATGATTAGCCTTTCGAGAAATTCTCAAATCAAAGCTCAAAGCCTCATTTGTGCAAATAATAATTCTCTTTGTCACTTGATATATATATATATATATATATATATATATATATATGCTTGAAAAAGTATTTCATCTTTTTACTTTATAAATAAGATTTAATTGATCTATAGTTAAAAAAATATTTTCATGTACAAAAATTTGAAGAAAAAAATAATAATTTGCACCTTTAACTTTTCGTATATGTTATAGTTAACATTGTTAGAGTAGAGATTTGAAATTCATAATGTGGTTTAGTTGCTTATTGTATTCATATAGGTCGATTCTAACCATTTGACCCTTTGTTTGAGTGTGTGTGATCCACAATATGTTTTGAGACTATCCTTCAGATGGAAAAGGTACTGATCTCCTACGTTGTGGTTTGTAATCACATGGTCTAATCCTCCGAGAGCAGCTAGAAAGAGATTTGTTATTCATAAATAATATGATTTTGATATAAAATGCCTATTCAAAAGCTTTCCCAACTCAATCATATATTCCAATAAAGTGAAGAACCTATGATTAGCCTTTCGAGAAATTCTCAAATCAAAGCTCAAAGCCTCATTTGTGCAAATAATAATTCTCTTTGTCACTTGATATATATATATATATATATATATGCTTGAAAAAGTATTTCATCTTTTTACTTTATAAATAAGATTTAATTGATCTATAGTTAAGTCAATAATACAGATTGAAAAGAGAAAAATATTTCATAATATCAGAATTTTTTTTTTCTTTTTTTATAAAGATTGACAATTTAGGGGATAAAGTAGGTATTTGACATGTTTAGTGACCTTAGTTATGAGTGATATAAACATAGTTAAATAAATTTCCATGATAAAAAAGAAGTGATTTTGAACAGTTGAATGATCATCTAAATTTATAATAAACTCAGCATTATAACATGACCATCTTTATTTGATCGTTCCCAAAGAAATATATATTTTTGAACAATAAGTTCGTCACCTGAAAATAATTTGTTTAGACACTTAAAATAATTACATCTTGTGCATCTTTTTTATAGGAGGAAAATATTTTTCAAACATTTTTTTTTATATTAATGTCCATTGTCCGGCTAAATATAATTATTTGTTTCTTAGATAACAATTGCACAAAGTATAAGATGAAGTATTAAAATAATGTTTTTGACAATATATTTATTTTAATATTAAATTCATCAACAATTAATGTTATGCATTTATTTGAAATAACTAACCTGAAATAACTTTTTTAATAAATTGAAATTAATATAAGTTGAAATGACTTTTTAGTTTCGTCCATATTAAGAGAAAACTGTCATTTTTTGTTTTAATGAAATTATTTTCATTGGAGAAAAGATATTACGATAATGTTTTCTCAAAGTTAATCAAACATGAAAATAAGATAAAAATTGAAATAGTTGGGATTAAAAAAATCAACTCATGGAGGAAGATGAATTGTTATAATGTATTAATATTGTATAAAAATGTATATGAATAAATATATACATATCTGATACATAATTATACATTATTTATACAAATTTAGATACATTTTATATACATATATCTATTTAATTATATAAAAAAAAACTATTGAACAATACATTCATGTAAAGAAACTCTATAAATTTTCGAATAGATTGAAGAAAGACCGAATACATGTATTGCAAATTGAGTCAACTTAATAGAAGAAAAGTTGAAGTGAGACTAGATATGATCGTAATGTAAAAATGCAAACAGTTCAGATATCGTATTTCGTATTTCAAGAGAATGATAAGATAGATGAATATAGTACTTACAAAATTAAAATTGAATGATTGAAAAGAAAAAATGCTATCGTGTGTTATGTGATAGAAGGGTGCCTACCAAAATGAAAAGTATGTTCTATAGAATATTGGGCTTGGTTTCTAAAGTTCAACATATCCACAAAATTAGTGTTGTGTAGATGAAATGGTGAGTTGAATGTGCGGTCATATCAGATAAAGTAATAAATGACCATATTTGCCAAAAGGTATGGAAGAAAATATTTTCTAGTTTCACATGTTTGATTGGGCAAATTTCTGAAAAAACATTTTCTCTCGAAAAACAAGTTGCTTAAAAACGAAAAAATAGCTTCTTTGACAAAAGTAGGGAAAACAAATTCAATAAGTGATACTATATGTTCATTGTATTTTCACCACTCACCCAACACCCCCTACTCCTTGACCATCTCACTTTCTCCACCCCCGAGGCCCCACTCGCAACCCCCTCCCATTGCTATAGTGTTTCTTTTAGATTACATATAAATACTCTTATGGTTCATTTGGTTGGAACAAATTATCTTAGGACAAGGTATCTCATCGTGTATATGGAATAACTTATCACATCACTATGATATAAATGTTGGGATAAATAATTCAAGGGCTAACTAATACGTCCAACCAAATGTAAAACAAAATAATTTTGCATCTTAAAACATGATTATTATACATTATACCTCACACCAAACAACTCTTTAAAGTAATATTTTTTATTTATTTATCAAATACTAGAAAATAATTAAGAAATCATATTTGTGTGAAAAAATATTAATTTTATTGGGGTATGTGTTATCTCGGGACTAACTATCTCAAAATTAGTAATCTCACTCTTAATGTGTGATAAAAATAACACTATAATTCATAAATAACTAATCTTGAGATTACGTTATTCCATAATTTTAATCCAACTAAGTATAAATTTATCCTAAAAATTAGTTACTCCCTCTGATCAACAATAGTTGACCACTATTAACTTGACACACATCTTAAGAAACAATTAATAATAAGGGTAATATTAGGGGTGACAAAATCAAACCCAACTCGTTCAACCCACCCAATTCGTTTAAGATTGGACGGATTATTAACCCGTTCATTCATTAGTTCAGTCCATTTCAACTCAACCCATTAAAAATTAATCAATATGTAACCCTAATTAGTTCATGAAAAATCTTGTCTAAATATTTTATTTTATTTTCAATTTGATATATTGTATATAGCCATAATAAATAAAAGAAA